CAGACTCTATGGTGGCATTTACCATACTATGGTAAGAATCACCAGAGTTCTGGCGAATACTACTATAATTCTGGTTATTTCCACTAAATAGTATCACTGTGTAAAAAATCAAGTAGACTCATAGTAAATGTCACCATACTTTTTTTTCAGTGTACTACACCGATCGCGTAACTCTTTGGCCATCCGTCATCATAAGACGAACTGAGCGTTGCTTTCTGAAACAAACCTTTACATTGTAGGGCTCATAGCAGCGAGGGATCTCTAAAATATGTTTTCTCTATTAAGCTCCCAGCCGTCCGCGCTGCGCTTGGCCAGATCTGAGGAGACATCTCAGAGCCGTCCGTCGATTATTTGCGTTATTTCGGCGATTCTCCGGCAGATTGGATTCTCATCAATGTTTATATGAGTAGTGTGGCCACCCTATGACTTATTGTGTACGGTAATTTCTTGTTTCGTTACGGTATTTTCATATTAATGTGCGTTTGCACATGAAATACCCTCAAAATTTTCTGATTTTCGCTGATTTTGCGATTTTTGCGACTTTGACAGCTGTAAACCACAATATAAAAATCATTGTGTCCAAAATTTTCACCATTTTTCTCAAACGCTGTATTGTGAATGCTTATTGTGTCAATTTTCACCATTAGAGAAATAATTTCTGGATTATTTTGGAGTGTTCAAAGTTACTGATTTTCGCCAAATTAAATCGTAATTCCTGGCCCGGCAGGGTCAAATTAAATCATGAGTCAATGGGTTAAAAAGAATAAATAAACAACAGAGGTTCAATAGCTTGGACAGAGAAAGCAGCCGTGAAAAGTTGAGGGGGTGAAGAAGTTGGATGGGAAGGAAACTGAGGCCTAATTCAGGGGGGGGGGGGGAGAGAGAGGGAAGAATGAACTCAGCAGCGTTTTCGACGCCTGTCAGACCACCTGAATAAATTTTCGATGGAGTTCTGACGTTCTGACTCGGGCTGTCAATCATACTTTTTTTGTCGCCGCGCGCGGGAGAGCGTTTCGTCGATGATTAAAAAAAGCTCTTCGTCAATCAAGCCCGCGACATCACAAAGCCCCCGGCCGGAACGCGAGGGGGGCGTTTAGGGGGTAGAAAAGGGGGGTAGCCTGGAAAAAGATGTGATTATACGGTTCGGTAATCAGGGCGGGATGTGAGTTTTAGACGATGAGACTTCTCGATTTCGGGTGGAGTGTAAATATTTTTCTGCTGACTGTCGAGGATAACGAGGAGGAGTTTCAACAAATCGTCCTCTTATGTAGGATGACGTTGAAGAAATTCCTGCCCTGTTATTTTTATATCTTGGCTGATTTATGAGTGCAACAGGGTGTCTACCGTCAAGGGAAACCGCGGGAAAACTGGAAAATATCAGGAAAGTCGATGTTATCAGGAAAAATTGGTCATGGATTTGGAAATTTTGAGTGCACCAAGCTAAAGTTGATTTATTCGCGCAAAAAATCAGAAAATCCTGTTTGAAATATAAGAAAACATACGAAAAATGTCAGAAAAATCTAAAGTTAAAATTTAGTAGACGTTCTGTACAAGAAAAAGACGCAATGTTTCCTCATGTTTTGCCGTAAACTTGTTCTGAATGGTCGCTGAACGCTATTAGGAATCGGTCATTGATGTTACCAAAATAGGCCAAGGTGCTGCATTGGGGATTAAAAGTGGATTTTCCCGGCTTGAATGCGAAAGCACTGCTGTCAAATTCACGAGTATAACAGCATGAATTTCAAAATCCGATGATTTTGATCGATTATTATTTGTCCAAATAATCTGTCTAAGTTTAACTTTACAGGTTGAAAAAAATAAATATAATTAATAAAAAGACGGTAAAATCCATTGAAAAAAATTGATCAATTCCAACTGTAACTGTAATTGAATCAGTGAGTTCGAAAACACACCAACTCGGAAAAAAGAAATTGTTCAGGAAACACCTAAAACTGTGCAGCGGGCGAAGACGTTAGTTTAAGAAAAAAACTTTTTGGTGCCAGAGGACAAGTATTTAGAGAGTTTGTAAAGCACCAAGTTGAAATCCATACACCATGTTTGATGACAGACAGAGAATTCAGCGTTCAAAAATTTCCGAGTTGGTGTGTTTCCGTTCTCACCGACTTTCAAATACTGATTTTTCATAGTCTGCCCTGAAAACTTTATATTTTTCGACCTGAATAACGCTTGAATATTTATATAACTTGTTGGTACAAGTTGAAACCGAAAAAAGAAAATCGCAGAATCGGATGGTCACCCGTTTCCCTTGAAATGGCCAAAAATTGGTATTTCCAGTGAAATACTTCGATTGTTCCCTTTTCCCGTCGCTGTTTCGAGCACTTCCAATTTCAATTTCGAAATTTCATTTTGCGTGCAGATGCCTTCATCCATATGTGTTACTAAACCGCAAAAGAGGGAAAATCGAAAAGAACCCGAGTTGGTGTGTTTTCGAACTCACTGATTAAATTGCTTCGATCAACAAACTGCTCTGGCAGCGTCGAGCAACAATGATTCGATTAAGCGCTTTTCTATCAGCACGAGTCCATCAAAACCTCCTGCTGCTCAGCGTCCTGCCAAGGCGACCACAGTGGCGAGGCGTGAAAGATCGATTATCGAAATTTCCCCATTTGAACCTGTTGCGATGAATCGATTATTGAGATGTTCGTTGCAAACACCCTGTGTATCGATCTTTTTTCATTCGTTTAAATAACAGATCAATCGATATATCGCAAAGCACCCTGTTAATTTTGTCCCTCTCGACCAACGCGACGCCGGATCAATAATTTTAAATGTGTCAATCAGTGTTGTATGATGGAAAAACAAATTATAGATCAATATTTGATATGAACTAGCTTGCATGTGATGGAAGGGAACCAACTTGAACATACTGTTTTCAAAATCTTTCAACCTCGTCTCTGGGGCCATTTTTAAATCACACTGAAAAAAAATATAGTAGATTTTACCAAAAGTGGGCATGCACAGTGAAACCAGTATGGTAATAAATACTGGACTGTATGGTAGAATTTACTGTACAAGGGTATGTTACAACAGAGTTCTGGTGAATAATACCATAGTTCTTGTTATTTTCTCTAAATGGTATCACTGTGTAAAAATAAAGTAGACTTATAAAAGATGTTACCATATTTACTATTGTTGTATGATACTATTGATGTTACCATATTTTTTTCTCAGTGTACCTACCGGTAAATTTACGGTTTTTTGACACCCCTCCAACCTTTTGTGACGATCCAAAGCGCTGTGCTGGAGGCCCCCTCCTAAAAAAAAAAAAAAAGAAATACCTATAAGTTTGACCGGAACCCCTCCCCTAATGATTTTCTTTTGCTCAGTGCAATGTACTTACGCCTTTTATTTTTTCCATGAAGATAGATTCTTTCATAGATGGGCCAGTAGGAGCGGTTTCTGTGTACAAAGTGTGATCCATGATGCGTAATTCGAATTTTCATGTTGACGGTGAAACTACCAGACCACGTATCTCGTTTGCGGTGTTGGAAAATCTCCGCTCTCATTCTATTTTTTGAAATATAACAAATTTAGTATTATTCCTTGAGGCTTTCACAGAGTTTTTTCCACAAAGTGAACAAAAAAGCAGGGAGGTTTTCATTTAAATTATACAGTATGACTTGAAGTCAACAACATCGCAAACCTAGATACGTGGTTCTGGTTTACATATTGACGAGGTGCTACGGTGAACGCTCTCCAACGTCTTAACGTTGGAACCGTCGTCTTGTTTGGGATTACAGAAGTCCAATTGTCTCGAATTCGGATTTTGTCAAACTGGAGTCTTCCATTAAAGTAATCACTGTGGAGCTGCGAATTCAGTTGCAATTTCCTTTGCGCGTCGCCGGAGTTTAAGCGACCCACATTTATAATGGGTCAGCGGGCCATTATCGGTGGTGTCACACGCTATTCTGAAACAAGGTTGCCCGATTCGATACTAAAAATCACCTTTTTCCATTGATCGGAGTGGATTAAGAATGGCAGTTTGGCAACACTGACCGGAACCGATTTCCGACTTCAATTCGTGTCCCGTAGGGACAAATGTGTGAGCATCGGACTCTAAACACCGCGCTTTGTGAGTAAAGTGCTTGTCGGACAGTGGAAGTGTCGCGTGAGAAAACCGTCGACTCAAATATGAAATATCATAGAAAAACCGCTTTAATGGTCTCTCGTGACGCAGTAATAACTTCCGGTGATCACCTTGATCCTTATCCGGCGATGACTTGTGAATGGAATGGTGACACCACCAAACTATTTTAAAAAATTCTGCTTGAGTATACACTCGCGCTGAACCACGTCTCAGGTTTTTGGGAGCTTTTAAAGGGGCATATCAATGTTTTCTTCATTTTTTTTTCAATCCCTCCTCATAGCTCTGCTAGAATTTTTAGTTTTGCTGAAAATGTATCTTCTATTTTATCATCAAGACCCACAAGAAGTAGAATAAATACGAAAAAGTAACTGTGCAGAAACCGTAAAAAAATAAAAAAAATCAAGTTTTCTGCCAAAATATAAAACACAGTTTGCAAAATTTCAAGATATGTTTTTTTATTTCTGACGTCTGTCCGTTTTTAAAATACCATTGATTTTCGTGAAACTCTGCAAGAATTCCTGGATATTTTATGGATTTATATGCATTTACATTTAAGTATGAACATTCTTCAAAATTTCTATAAATAATTACCATAGAGTTTCTGGAAATGGATGATTTTTTTGCCGCAGAGGTCTTCAGAACAATTTCAGCAAGGCCTACAAAAATCCCTCCCTTTTTTAAACAATTTAATCTCCGAATTGAATTAATTCTTTCGTTCTTTTTTTTCACATTTCTATTGATTTCTCTTTCGTAGGATGTTGATAACTTTGTATTTTGAAGGAAACTTTAAATAAATGTATTTACCAATCAAGTGCCCTGGTAGTTATTACTTTATTGAATCTATTTGAAATTGCCTCAATATTTACGGATCCGATTGACTTTTTTGTTGCAGTAATCGTATTGTGTGCCACGCCTCCAAAGGTTCGTGAAATCATGCTCGCAGCGGAGGAACTTAATATGATTGACTCCGGAGAATACGTATTCTTCAACATCGAACTGTTCAGCAAGTAAGTGAACTTCTGTCCTCTTCTTCGACGTTCTTCAATTTCTCTGCCGCATTTGCGTGAACCATAGATCTTTAGAGTAAAAAATTGATCGGAAGAAGCGCTCATGCTTATGCATTGAATCGCTTAAAATTCATGCCTATCTTTATGTGAAATATAGAAATCTTGCAACAAGCATCGCTAAATTTGCCGGGCTAAGTAGGAACGCCACATAAACCAAAAAGTCAGAAAATTTCAAGGGAAAATATTCCTATCTTTCTTCAAAAGTAAATATTTTCTGAGAGGAAATTTGGCAAAGTCGAATGTTTATTCAGCGTTCTGAACTTCTCATCCAGCACGGCAGAAATGTCCTTTAGACTGCGTACGGAGAAGAAATCAAAGCGCGATACGGGTAATACAACTATTTTAACGCTGAAGTCGCGGGGTTGCCTATAGAAAAAAGAAGGCGGTTCATCCGCCCTGTGTCAGACCGTTGCTCAAATCTCCGTAATCTGAGTCTAAATTTTCTCGGTTTCTACATCAAGGGTCTAAGAACGACGAATGAAACAAACGTTCGACAACGGAGTTATTACCCTTAATAAGGATTTATCGGAAAATTCTCACATCTCGTTTACTGTATATTGGACCACTAGACAAGGTACGAATTCATACTATCTGATACATGTTTTTCAACGAGAATTTCACGTAGAACACGATTCGTGCAACGAAAATGACTGAAACCAATTGCTAACGAAAATATTAACGTTTTTATTGCACATTGGTTACGAGGAATTTGAACTGCCCGCTCACAAGAAACTCAAAGCTCTACGTGAGTCAAATCGCGAACTACAACGGTTTCAGGAAGCCTCTAAATCGAGCAATATACATTTTTCACCATGTTTAGTTCAAAATAAACGCAATTTGCTATAGCTGAGCCAAAGTGTCAAGATCGAGGTTGCCAGATTTTTATATCGCAGAGACTGTCATGATACCGTTTAGCGCGCGATGTGATTCACGTAGAGCATTGAGTTTTCATAAGCGGATGGTTTGAATTCACGCATCAAGAATAATTATATATCTGCTTAAGGAGTTTATTTCCGTAATTTTCCTTGAGCGCATCGTGTTCTACGTGAAATTTTGGTTAAGAGACATGTATCAGAATGCTAAAATTCGTACCTTGTCTAGTGGTCCATTGCGAAATTTTTAATAATCAATTGGGTAAATTCTAAATAATTTTTTTGTTTTAATTAAGTTGTAAGTTTTTTGTATGAACTTTAAATTTTTAAGATGAAGATCACATCTGGTCATTCTAAATGCAGAAAATGCGAAATGCAGTCCGCATAAGTTCTCTAAAATGCCCCAGAATTTTTTTTTTTTTTTTTTTTTTTTTTTTTTTTTTTTTTTTTTTTTTGTGCCGTAGTATCTTGATGTAGTATCTTGATCCGTACTCTTAAAGGATGCCTGTCATTCTTAATGTGTTGGAGCGCTTTTGATTTCATATGATACTGGGCAACACCTCTGTTGTGAAATAGTTGATTGAGGCGCCATGCGCGGCGGGCGGCCAGCCAGCGCCTACAAACCTAGAGATATACTTCAAGCATTGCGCGATGCGTGAGGTATCCATTTAGGTTTGTAGGCGCCAGTGCGCTTACCGCGCTGGCAGTACGCCGCTTCGCTCTGTGTTGGGCTCTAATACTTAAAATCGCGGAGTCAGCGTTTTTTAACTCATGATTTGGAAATTTTCGCACACTCTACAGGTATGGATTATTCTCCTTTAAGTTAATGGAAAAAATATGTATTTTAGAAAAATATAATTTTTGTTTTTTGTAAAAATTAAGGTGTTCCGTGTCAAATTTAATGATTTGCTGAAATTCGTACCTTGTCTAGTGGTCTATTGTTACTACGAACTGAGATAAAATTGTCACAAAAACTTAAACTCTAACATTTCTAGACCAGTTAGCAGCAATTTTTCCTTCAAGGGAGGATCATGAAAAGCAAGTTTATCTTTTCAACTGCCTCTTTTGCCCACTTTTTCTCTTTCGACCATTTGCTTTTAATTTTACTTGTTATCGTGCCCATCTCTCTCATTAATTCAAGCGCATACCTTTAAATTAAAAGCTACCAATTTCCTGCCTGTTTTTGCTTATTTTCTTGGATAGACGGAGGAACAGATTTAAATCAAGACGTTTCTAATGAATAATTTAAGAGGAAAATTAGAGTGGAGATGATTAAAGAGAGCGTCTTTTTCAGGTTCTAGGAAACTTTTTCCAACATTAGCTGCGGTGCAGTGATTGAATTTCTTTTTCTTTTTTTTCTTTATTGATATACCATACAAATACATAATATATTTACACCAACAGACAGAAGGGTATCCGTCCTTTGACATTGCTTCCCTCTATACAACTACAATCTAAGCTCATAAATAATTCTACTGACAATAGGAGGAGATTAAATAACAATAAAATAATACAGCTAATTAATATTAAATAGTTACTACTTGCCTAGGCAATATTCGAATAACCCCTCCTGTAACGGGGGAAAAAATCATCTACTACTGTATCTGGTCTAGTTTTTCACATAAGTGATTTACTAAAACGAACACTTTACTACTTTCATTAACTGATACAAACATCTGTTTTCTATCATTTACCTTTCTACTGTCTTATTTGTTATCGAGCTAATAAGTGCCAAAGTTTAAGTTTATTTCTGCATAGCGATAAGGCTATTAACCAACGTTGTTAACTTAACGACTTGTTCTGGGAGAGAGATTAAATTCTTCTCTAATTTCTCTACATAATTTTTATGATTTATTTCCATTTCTGTAATTTGGTCTTTTAGCTTCTTAATTGTCTGATAATTTTCATATTCATTTAAATTGAGATTCTTTAAGGAATTATTATTTATTGATTTCAGTTTTTGTTCCTTTAAAGTTTGGTAAATGGGACATCCTTTCCATGTGAAGAAGTGTTCTCCTTTGCAGGCAATGATTGAATGTCTCTCATATTCGCTGACTATCAGTAGAAATGAGTAGAATAAAGTAGTGAAACTGCATAGGTAAAGATGCATCATGTAAAATTTATATCCAAATCGAATGATCATTCTCCTCCTAAAGTTAGTACGTTAATCCTATCCGTGGAACATTTATCAACTCTTGAGCTTAAAACAAATAAAAAAGTACAAAAATTTCTTAGATATTTTATTCAACTCCTCCAGAGCCTTCCTGTGTATTATGAGCCTCATAATATACTGAGGAAATCGAAGAATTTCCATTTGTCTGATTTTTTTTTAAGTAGGTTAACATGTTGTGAAGGTACGGGTTGAAAACTAAAAAAGAAAAAAACATTTGTATTAACGTTAGTCAAAATCAAAACAAACCCGAAAGTTCTTTGAAGGGTTTTCATCGTGATTACAACCCTTCTGAAAATTGAGTTTGAAATGTGAACAAACAATTTTCGTTGCTTTCGAACTTTTTATAGTTTTTTTTCTCATGGGACGCAAAATCCAAGTCCAAAAACACCACATGATGCCTTAAGATACAAATACCTTGTTTCTTTCCACGCGGAAAGGAGGAGACGTAACGATGCCTCACTCATATTTTTCCTGCATGACTTTTCTTTCATATAAGCATGAATTACACTAAATGTCTCTACCGTAGGTTCGTAACTTTATTTTGCATTGTAGTGGTTCTTATTGCATTCATGAGACTTCACTGAGAAGCAGTTAAACAAGCTCGCTTCGACACAAACAGCATGACTAGTACTGACTTTTTCTCCATAATCCAATCTGACTTCCACTTTTCGCTTCGAGAAAAAAGTTTCAGAGCCGAGAAAAGCCTTTTTGGTAGGAAAAAAGACATCGTAGCTAACATTTTCGAGAGAGGGTGCCACGCCATCCTGCAATTTTAATTTACTTTAATTCTGGTCCGTGATCAAAGCCTACACAAAAGGGCCTCGTGAATTGACGTCGCACTGTGGTCTCCGTATCATTACTCCTTGGCGAGAATGAAGGAACGAAGATCAGAAAAACAAAAATAAAAAACACTAAATGAATACTTCATGTTTTTAACTTTATTTAAATGTTTATTATCTAACATTTTTCAAATTAAGATATATATAATTAATTATATGGTTCATAAATCTTATATCTTTCAAAAATTGATTTGATTTATTTAGTTATCACGCGCAATGAGTACTAATCGATCATTAAATCATTAAATCTATCCGTAAAATACGGTTTAAAACACAAACACTGTCAAATATCCTTTGGGTGAATCAAACATGTTAAATAAGATTATATTAATGAAAATAAAATATGAATGCTTAAAATTCAGTAATGCAAAAAGATAGAATGGTCAAAGACCACGCTTCAAATAAACGGGGTTAGTTTCCATATTAGGTCTCTTACTGAGTAGAAAGCTAAATCGGTTGATTTGCTGGATCGTCTACTTTAACTATTTTATTATTTTGTGTTCTTAATTTTTAAAATTAGTTGAACCCGAAAAATGGGTGCTGATTTAACACTCTGGGTCATCTGGGTGTAAAAAAGTGTGCAACACCTCACAAAATGCTGAATTACCGGTACAGTAGTTACTTTGGCAATGTCAAGATGTAAAACTAACTGCTGTCGCGGTCAATTCAGCGTTTTGAGGGGTGTCTCACACTTTTTTTACATCCAGAATGTTAAATCAATATCCTTATCTTTCGGTGACAGTTGAAAGCAAAGTCAACCTAAGTCAATAAGTCCATTTATTCATTCAAAATCAGAGTAAAAATGTTCGATCTTTTCAGCACTGGAAAAAAAAGACATCGGATCTAGAGTCCAGGCTCTTAAAAAAATCGACAAGAAAAAGTACTTATGATCCAATGAGAATCTAGCTTATATCGAGAACCAAGCCTCTTAATTTAAGCGGATTTCGTTTTGATTCAAGCAAAAATCCGACTGAATCAAGAGTATTTTTTCTTGTCAATGTTTTCAAGAGTCTGGACTCTAGATCCAATGTGTTTTTCTTTTTTTTTCCAGTGAGC